GAAATTGATTCACACTGTTTTGTCTGGCAAAGGTATGAGGGAAAAGAAAAACATTTCAATGATCTTTTATTCTGTTAGATTTGTAAAAAGTCCTTATTGAATTAATGAATTTGGGTATTTTATAGCATGCTGTTGGTTTTTTATTTTAATTTTTTAACAATTTGTGTGTGTGTGTGGACTTTTGTTTCGGTGCATGTGCATTTGTGTGTGCACACGTTAGTGCAAGCGCGTACAGTGTTTGAGGGGTGTGTGAAAAATTACATGCAAGTGTGTACAAGTGTGCACCTACAGATGTGAGTGTATCAAATGTAAAATCCCTCTGCGTATGTCAGCCTGTGTAGATAGTTCTACTTACTTACGTGTGCAGCTGTGTGTGTGTGTGCGTCTCTGTGTGCTTGTTTGCTGAAAGGTTTTGTTAAAACCCCGGCTGAACTTTTTCAAAGGCCCGGGATGAATCAGAGGTGAGGGACAGATCTTTGTTTCCTACAGCAGTCGTCGTGGAGGAAAACAATAGCCGGCCGCCGCTCTCCCTCTGACCTTTTTTCACCCATTCTGAATAAACCAGAGCCGTGCAAATCCATCTGCCTTTTGTCTATGGGAGCCTGGATAATCCACACCCCCCTTCACACACACACACTCAAATACACCCTGTTACACACACGCACACACACACACACACACACACACACACACACACACACACACACACACACACACACACACCAACCAGGAGACCAACCCCTCCACCACCAAACCTCCATCTCAAATCCAGATACCAAAAGCTACACACACATTTATTTCCAGCACAGGATTACTGCACTTTTAAAAACAGATTCAATCCGAATTTTTTCATTGACATTTTCTTTCGTGATAACAGCTGCAGAGCAGATTATTCTGAATTTCGAATCCTACCTACACATCACACTGAGCGTTGATAGAGGTTGTCAAAGGGAAGCAGATTTTAATGCAGAACTCAGGAGAAATGTAAAAAAAACATCAAAAATGTTCTGTAACGATACAATGCTTTCCCCTCTCTTTTTGAGGGTTTTTATTCTTTTTTTTATTCCTCCTGTTCAAAGACGCCTGTCTGTCTGTAGGGAGTGTGTCTGATATTTGCTGAAAAGGGCTGAGCCCAGCAGCGTATACAGCCAGACAGCCAGCATCCCTGACGGGCTATGTTAATGCTTTTCAGAAATACTCAGTGAGGAGGAGCGGCACACACTGTATGTCAAATCACGTTTGCCTATGTGAAATGAAAAAATTTGCAAGTACAATCGCTTTTTGCTGGGCCAGATGGACAATAGAGGTGGAGGCTTGAAAGGAACTCCCTTCTCCCCTGTGCCTTTGGGGAGGCAATATTTTCCTTACATTTTCTGCTGCTCACTGAAACAGACTCGATTGAAACGTCTGATTTTCCTCCAGAAACAAACAGGATTTTCTGTGGGGTTTTTTTTTTTTGTGCGTCATATGATAAAAAAAAATTCACATCTGAGCCAGGAATGGTCCAGATTGAAGTCTGGAGTGCTATTTCATTCTGGCTGTGTTCCTTTTAGCGACGAAATCAACACAAGAGTCATACTGATTATTGTCACAGATTATTCCTTTTCTTCTTCTGCTCCTACCATCGTACCAGCAGCAAAGATTTCCTTTAATTTTTCTCCGCTGAGCTGCAGTTCACCTTACCGGTCGCAGCCCTCTACACCAAGCCCTCAACATGTAATTTGATTGAAAGCGTTAAGCCACAGGAGGGAGAGTCAAGAAAGGCCATAGAGCTGCAGAGCCGTGCAGATAACCTCTTATTATCGGAAACAGAGTGTAGGTGACACACTTATGACAAGAATAAGAAATCGCCATGCAGATACACTGTAGCTATTCAACAGTGTTGGGTTTCATGCTGCGTTGCTGGAAAGGTTACACAGTCCTCTGCACAGTAATGACTGCATGCATTGGCTCATGTGTGAACGTTCCACCTCCCGTCCTGAGCAAACATTTGATTTTCAATCATTGCACATTTCTGCTACATCTGCCTCTGCAGCGCGAGCACAAATGCTGCTCGTTTTTCATAGCTGCAAACTAACAAGTCATACACCCCCAGGCCTCTCTCCCTCCCTCTCTAACTCTCTCACACTCAGCGACACACACACACACACACACACACACACACACACACACACACACACACACACACACACACACATCTACACCCGTTTGCTGTTACTAACAACTGCAACCAAACTTGATTAAGCAGGTGGGGTCAGGCTACATTTGTTTGAATCAATAGACAGACATGTTAGGCAGCCATGATAGAGAGAGCAGAGGGTGTGTGTGTGTGTGTGTGTGTGTGTTTGAGGAGGGGGGAGTGCTTTGGAAACGCCGGCATCTGTCCCGTGAAAGATGACTGAGCTGTTACAGTTAGAGCCTTGAATTATGGGCCATTACTAGCCGAGCAAGATGCAATCCCTCTCCATGAAACTTAATTTGACAAAACAATGAGATGACTCAGGGAGTAAAATGACAAATGAAGTTATTTGATCCGTGGTAAAAAAAAAAAAAAAAAAAAAAGAAAGGAAAAAAAATACATTTTGCAAAAGATGATTGCAGTGGAAGCATGTGGAATCAGCAGTAATGCATTATTAATGGCCTTGCCAAGCCCACAACGCGTACAGGCTACTGCTCAGCTACTTTTGTTTATGATGCTTCCTTAACGGCCGATATTTCTGCTGCGATCTTTTACATTAAGGCCACATTAATAAAAAGAAACATTAAAAATACACAACCAAACTACAATCAATTGGATCTGCTTTTACAGATGTCTGGTGCAATATTAATATGTGCAGCTATACAAATCTAACATAAACAGAATCCCTGCATTATGTTTATTACTGATTTATGAACAGCCTCAGTAGTAACTTGCAGTTACTAGTAGATAAATCTTTTATATGTTTCTGCACTTCAGTGCTGAATTTCTCACATTTTTGTTCCGCTTTATTATTATATATATTTTTTCCGAGCACTGGGAGAATGGTCTTCAGTGCAGCACCCCAGTCAGAGACGCCCACTGTTTCCTTTCAGGGCCGTCACATTACTATGCAACCAGCTTTTACAGTACGGCTTAGAGCTCCCCAAGCAAATTGGACACCCCACAAAGCATCGGACAACTGTTGTCCCCCATTGTGGGTCTTTCTGCAGGCACTCTTTATCAGGTGCTGAATGCAGAAGCAGCAATGAATGAAATCATAGGGGGTGGGGTGGTGAGGAGGGGCATCATCAAGTGGTGATGGTGGTGGTTTGGTAGGGTGGGGGGGGGGGGGTCACTCCCTGAAACCTCACAAGAATTCCAGAACAATCCATGTGCAGGGTAGAGCGGCCCTTTTTCCACCTCCCAGGGTTTCAGGGTTTCTCTGTGCTGACAGGCAGGCAGGAGGGATTCGACAAGGCTGCCCCCTTTCTCCCTACCGCTTTCAAAGCCTCCTTTCCATTAACTCACCACGCCGCACCTCGCCTAATCTCTGTGACCTCCACCACCGAGGGACAGGGATTTTTTTTTTTTCACTCCCCTCCTTCTTTTTACCCTCGAGACAAGCCTGCTGCCTTTCTGTGAGGTTGAGAGCACCTTTTTCTCAGCACTTTTTCTCTGGCACAAAAATGATACCAAACAAACTTAGTATGCAGCATAAAGTTACTATCAGCGCGAGCTAGTGACGAGCTGTAGCAAGCCGGTAAATTTCTGAACCAGTAAAAAGGTGGGAATTTATCTTCTACTGTGTTAAAAAGATGAGAAAAATAAGCTTTTTTTTGCAATTGATTTCTTTTGATAATTCTCTGTCAGGAGGAATTGTAGCCCTTGTCATTGGCAGTGCAATTTGTAGCGCCTCTTTTAGTTCTTGCCTCGCTCTTTGTTGTCAAGATCATTACGCAGTGTGTAATAATGGGGAATTATGTTGCCTATTGTAAACTCTTAGTAGTCAGGTAGAACACAACAGGCCCATTATCTTGAGCTCGCTGGTGTCTGAAAATGAACAGCAAGCAGCAGTCGGAGCTGCAGCTCTTAACGTTCAATAAGACTTACTTCCCCTCGCACAAATTACCGCCGTGGAGGTTTTTACACACTCAAGAAGCAGTTCAAACAGAGACTTTTGTCGTACAGTATGTGTCCATTGTGTTATCTTAAGCAGCAGACTGTGTGAAAAGAAATCTTTCATCTTCCAGTTGTTTGCTGAAGGATCTGGTTCTCACGTGCTGGATTAAAGTGCTGCCGAGGTCGAAATTGGCAAGGCACTTGCTCAAAACGGCGGAACGTCTGTTGCCTCCATTCACAGTGGTGGAGAATTCCTCCAATATAGCAAACGGCGTGTTGAGCTGTCGAGGCACATCCAGAATGCCTTCCTAAACAGGAGTTTATGCATTCTATGCACTCCTGGGCACAGATGGTGGAACAAACGCTTGTGATTATACTTTTCATCGAGCACAGTGATATGCATATTTATGTCTTTCCAAAAAAGGAAAGAAAAGAGCCATGTGATTTACACTTTCATCTACTGATGTTGGAACAAACATTTTTTGGGGGGAAAAATCTTTGGAAGCAAAAATAATTAAAGCTTTTTAAGGGGGTTCAGATAGATTAGTGTCAAATGTTTTTGGACCATTTGGTGGAAGCTTTAATCCAGAGGTATCAATCCATGTGCCAGGAAGCACTGAGAGTCTGCAGGGTTTTTCCAATCAAACACAGATTAGTTCTTCTTGTCTGATTGATCAGTGAATTTGCCTGATGATCACTTTTAGGTACATAGTTTTACACCCTTGTAGTTTATTCCAAAGCACCTGCTACCGTCACGAGCGCAGACATTTTTAGCATTGCGGGTGAATCACAACTCTTATCTTGCCTGTGAGAGTACCACGCTCTACCCATTGAGCTGCACAGGGAACCTCTCACCTCAGATAAAAACTAGTAACAGAAACATATTATTAACCCTTTTTATCTGTTCTTTTGTGGCCCACAGGGAAGCCAGATCAACCAGATCCCCACCAAGTACAGCCAGGCGGAGTCGACCAAGTTCCTCGTCCTCACTGTCGTGTCCATCCTGTGCATCGTTGGCGTGCTGCTGGCCTCCACCGTGGTCTACTGCCTCCGCCACCGCTCCCACCACAAGATCAAGGAGAAGCTCACCAATCTGGGAACAGATACTACCAGCGATGCTACCGCCACCTATCAGGTAGGAGGTGCTACTGCGCCATCTGTGACTTTGAAAAGATTTGTATTTGATGTTTTTGCTTTTGCTTTTAAAAATCAGATTCATACCAGATGTTGATTGTCTATTTATAAATACATACATTTACAAGCTTATTTTCCTGTGAATGTATGTAAAACTGAAAATGTTTAGTCCAACAAATAGAAGCTTAATAGCAATGCTTTTAGATAAAGTGTATTTCTAGAGCTGGTGGCTGAAACCTTTTAGTTTGGGATTGCTCGTGGGGTTAAAATCAAACCAACCCTTCATTGTGGAAGTGTGACACTCCACATTCTGCTTCAACCTCAGTTTTTTTAATTTATACCGCCATGTTACTAGATTGATGCTGTGTGGTGATGGCTGACTCTACTTAGTCCCCTGCTGTCATTTGTTGTTTGAGACATGAAGCAGTATCACCAATCCAACAGGTTTTCCACCTCCAGTCATTTCCATTCCCCCCTCTGTTTGCTGTAATTATCCTTTGGCCAGAATAGCGGGGTGTGAAATTTAATTTACAGAATCCAATATTAAGTGGCTTTTTGAGCAAAGAATTAGATTGAGATTTTTTCCGTCTCTCTCCCTGACCTTTTCCCCACCATGTTTTTAAATGAGAGTGGTCCTGTGAGCATTGATTTTATAATGAGCCCAGCCCATCCCCTAAGTGCTTACATTTTATGCTCTTCTCCGGGGATTTTTAACTCCTGAAATAGACTGTGCTGCTGCGTTAGAGGTTTACCTCATCACCGGGGACTTCTGAAGAGTCATGACGTACGTTTCTGCATAAAGATCTATTGTGAGGGAGAAGATGGAAACTGAAATATGAGAAATATGATTTAACTACTGTTTCTGAAAGTCTGACTTTCAACATGTCCAATGACAGGCTGACATTTCAGCTATACACATTTCACATTGTACATAAAATATTTGCTTTTCCTCAGTGTGAGAAACTTATCTTCACGCTTACTTGCCTCCGAGATTCGCATTAAGCCTCTAATTGGAAAATGCTAATTAAAATTCACACGTTAGACTGTGTTTACGCATTATTTATCTGATTAATAGCTAACAAAAACATTCGTGTTGCTCATTCTTGGGAGGTTTACTCAGCCCAAACTCCCAAAGCTCTTCCAGTTGATTCTCCTTCCTCTGTCGTCTTTATCGAGTCTCGACAGCGAGCCGTCGTCATCCTCAGTGAAAGACCTCGGTGTTCAGCTCCCATCTTAGCCGTGTAAGCCTCGTCTCTTTGTCAGTGCTGCTGTGTAGAGGGGTTCCCTGGGCTGGTGTGTGTGTGTGTGTGTGTGTGTGTGTGTGTTTGTGTGTGTGTATGTGTGTGTGCAGTCTCTAGGGCTACATGCAATTAAAGCAGACAGGAAGCGGCAGGCTGCCTGACGGCCTTACTACTGCAGCTCCCTCATACTGGCTGTCACACACACACTCGCACAGGCATACACACATAAACATGCACAAACACACACATATATGCATGCACACACTCGGCAGCTACTGCATGTTAATGATTCTTGCCCTTGGCGCGTTTGTTTGAGGCCTCAGTTTGCACACTCACACACACTCTTCCATTCCTCCATTCACATCACCTCGCCACCAGCTACCTCCCAATCCACTCCACCGGCACCTTCCCCTGTCTGCTCCTCCGCTCCCCGGCTTGTCAATCAAACACTCCCGGTGAAACCGCGATATGGGATTGGCCGACGCTGACAAAGGAGAGATTGATTGACAGGCGTCGACAGAGGAGCGTGCACACCGTGTCTGAGCGCTGGGCGGTGAGATGGTGGATGGTGCCCGTCAGTCAGTCAGTCAGTCAGTCAGTCCCTGGATTACTCTGTCACCGACATGGGAGTCTACAACGTCGCCTTCAGTTTATCTTTACATCTGATTCAAACTTTTATCTGATCCTAAAAGTCTTCCTTTTTCCCTCGAAGTAGAAGAAACTATCCGCCAGCAGGGTGAGATCATTGCACTTGATTGCAGTGGATCTCAACTTTTTGCATGGATTTTCCCTAAATCAAGATATTATCTTGAAGCAACATTATCTTATTCAAAGATATCATCACCCGCACCATGAAACTTCTTGAAACATGAGAAATGCTTTGGAAACTAGTAGATATATCTCAACACATTTGCATATTTCGTCAAGTCTTTAAGACAGAAGACAAGGTTGAATGACTTGCTAAGATATTTTTTACTATAATATTTTTTGCCTCCCTCGGCCTGCCTTACACTGTGTCTGTTTTCTCTCTCTGTCTCAATTCAATTTCAAGGACCTTCACAGGCACGATAGCATCATCTTTGCACGGCCTAAGAATAAGTGCAAAACACATTTCCAGTACATCTCAATTTAGATTAAACAAGCAAACAATAACTCTTGTTCACTGACTGTCCTACACCTCCTTTCTCCCTGCGTCAATTTGGTTCTTTATTTCCTGTCTTGCACAAACCCTCACAGTTTTCAAAGTCCTTGTCTATATGCTGCAACAGCAAGTGCTGGAGTGAAGTGTTGGGCAATATATAGAAACTAGACTGTGCATAAGGCAGGTCAGTACGGGTGCCCTATCCACATCTCTCTGGAACTATTTTGGAAATTTGTACAGAGAGGATTTGTGTGCGTTGCCATTGCAAGAAGTAGTTTAATGTTAATGTAACGTGGCAAAATGTAAGGGCATGTAGATCAGATGTCCATCTTTGATTCCTGAGATCAGGGTTTCATAATTTTAGACCCCAACCATACTTAAGAGCACTGTAGGTATTGCAACTTTGGCATTGAACACTGTCATTGCTGATAATCAAGGGTCAAATTTTCATCGAAAAGTGCCTCAAAAACATTTCAGCCAGTCCTGCTTTTTAACTGTCCTTTTACATATGATAGATTTCAAATAAACCAGCGTTTTTTATTCCTAGATATGGCACAATAGGTTCTGCCTGATTTGAACCTGCACTAGCACAAAGGAAACTCATTAGTCTGGCCATACTAATCCCAATTCAACATTTGCAGTTAGCAAGGCTCTCAACATGGTGACTGCTACAGGTTGTACTGTGACAATAAACATACTAACTTTGTTTTATTGGCCTTTGTATCTGGCAGAAATTGAGTTGAATTTTCAGGTAAGCTAGCAAAGCTTTGACATTGATTTCACAAGTAACTGCTTTCATTCAAACATTGTAATGAAGGAAACCGTAACTAACTAAACATTTAGAAATTAAAAAAATAGCAAGTGCCAATGTACGCTTTTATCTCTTATTTAAACTGTATATTCTTTATAGGGTGACTACATTTCTGAGCAGAAGTCTCATTCATGAATGAAAATGGTCACATTCAAATATTTTCATTATCAGTGTAAAAGCTTTTGGCAGCTGCAGTCCAGACATAATGGTGTCACTATCCTGTCCTACATTCCCTCTCCTCTAGCTTTTCTTCAACCCTTCAGTCTCTCGTCCCCCACCCTCCCCCGACTCCACCATATTGTATCATGTTCCCCTTTTATTTGTTTGTTTGTTCAAGCACAGAGGCAAAGGCCCCTACATTTGTTTTGGTCAGGAGGGCATGTAAACAGAGGCGCCCCTGTGGGCCCGATGGGCCCTGGCGACACACCCCGACCCCCAGTCCCAGTCTTCCTCACCATTAGCAGGCTTTCATAAAGAGGGGGTGCTTTGGGTGGCACACGTCTCCCCGTCACTGACACGCCCACCATCGCCCCGGGGTGATGCATGATTCGAGACGGTCATGTGGCGCCAAGTGGATTCCCTGGCATGGCGCCCATGAGAGGGGGTTGTTGGGGTTTTTCTTTTAACCTTTATTCATGCAGGGAGGGTTGATGAGGCAGTTAAAGCACAGACTCAGTTCCATGTCTCTGTTAGTTAGTACCTTTTTTTGCATTATGTTCTTTGTGTAAAAGCTTTGGTTTTGTTTCAGGCAACCAAACAAAATTACCTTCAGGACATAAAAACTTATATTGGTGGGAAACATTGAAAGCTTTGGTGACTGTTGCTGTGTTTCACACAAGTGTTTTTCTAACTTTATGTGGATCAATGGCAATCTTTGTCTCTTTGAATTAACTATCTCATCATTAAGCAAGAACTTAATTGTAGTTTTACATTTCTGTTATTCAGATGACAAGCTTATCTGTAGCATACCAATGGCTACCTTGCTTAAAAATTGTTTTAGAAAATCACATAATCTAACCAAGTGTTTTTCAAATGCTGCCATCAATTCTTAGATTGATTTTCTACCTTCCAGACGGACATTTGTTTTCATTCATTTCAATTGTTTTTAAAATCAATTTGACAAGACTTAAAGCTTGCTAGAGATTGGTAATCCATCACAGTGAACATTTATCCACCTTTATTTATTGTCAAAGTTAATGCAGTTGGGAGAATGGATGCAGCAACATCTTAGATTTAAAACCTGACAAAAGGCATTTTATTCATGAGCTGTCAGAAAAATGAATCCAGAAGACAGAAAAATAAGCTAATATGGATGTCCTGGAAAGGATCATTTTCTCATTCGTTGCATTGAAATGTTTGCTGTTTGGCAGGAGATTGAGCAATTGGATGTCCTTGAACGCACCAACAGTAAGGCAGCCCTTGCGTGCTACTACAAAGAAATGACGTGTTGTCCGATAGTCTGCAAGTAGATTTTAATACAGTAATAAAGGGCTTTAACCAATAATTTAAGAGGGAAAGAAATCACTTATATTAACATAGAAGGCAATTTGTAAAAAACAATAGTATAACATGCTAAAATCAGTGAGCATATATGCGTTCAGGATCTAGAGGACTGAATGTGTTTGTTCTTTGGCAGTCTTACTGTTAGTCTCACCTCTCCGTCATTAAGTGCATAAATTATCACAATTAAAAGGCAGTATTGAGACAAAGCTGGAAACTGCACAGCAGACTCATGGAGATCATAAACCACAGTGATTAACGTGGCGCGTCCAGCCACCTGATAAAGTGCGTCTCGCTGAAAATCAATACACTGTAAATAAAGATACTTGTGTTTGAATGGGCGCAGCTCGGGGGAGGGGAGGTGTTGGGACTTCAGAGGCGCTGTAAATTTGCGCTGTTTAGACTCTAAACCTGTCCTTGGTTATATTGTTCCTTGAATTTTTTGCCTTTTTGTCCTCTAATTGGCTCTCGGGGGGAAGCCATTTTGAATCCGTTTTAATTACATCATAAAAGAATTTGCTGCTGCAGCAGAGTTCACCGTGTGGGCTTGTTGAAATATGAATGCTGTTGATCATGTGTTTCCCTCCCCGACAAAACACCCACAATGCAGTGTCTTGTGCTGATTGGGCTCCATGTTGTGTTGCTGAGGATATAACACTGACGCACAGACAAGAAACCAGGTGTATTTAACAGCCAGAAGGCTTAGACCAATTTATGGGGCCAATATTTGGCTTTTATTAAACATCAGAAATTGGCCAGTTAGTGGGATCCACCTCTGGTATCACGGAAACTCCTCTCCTGACTACAGTCTGTGAACCATGCAGTGACATTTAATCTTCTTTGCCAAGAACAGGCTAAGCTGAGAGGTTTAATGTTCCATGATGCTCCAAATGATGCCTCAGATGCTTTCCCCTCCCGATCTGACAAGATTTCAAGTTTTGGAATAAAAATGATCAAATACAAAGGTGAACAAAGGGATAAAAGTGCCAGCTGTCACTTTAAATTAAAGTACCCATATTGACCTGAGTTGATTATTAGCATGCATATTTAAGCACACTTTATATAAGATACCCAATTAGCGGCAGGTCCTATTTACTAGACTGGTGTGGCTTCACATTTTAACAAATAAAGGTCTCAATTGGACGCCTGGTCTAATTTTATAGGAATTCTCTGGATGTATAAAACTTGTTAAAGCCCACTTGAGCAAGTTCTAAGCCACTTTGATCTCCTACACAAATATAAAGGTTAATATTGAGTGTGTCCATATTGGCGAAAGTCTTCATTAGATAATCACTTTTATAGTATTTCCCACCTTTGCTAAAGGGTGAAAAGCCTGGGCTATTAGGTTAAGTTTAACGGTACTCATTCACCCTTAGAAACACTTAATAAATGTGGTCTATTCTTATGTAACAAAACACAGAACTACAAGTGTTAAGAGTGTCTAACTCACAGTATGTTCCCCATTCTAGTTCTATGCTTAGTTAGGAGCAAGACCTCTCATTAGAATGGGGTAGTAATTAGGAAGTTATTGATAGAAAACTCTTGGTTAATGGCCTAGTAGTTGTAAGATATGGTCATGCAATATAAAGCATTCTTAAGTGCTTTATAATGACTGATAAAGAGTCCATATGCTAATAATATGCATGCTAATAAGTAACTAGTAAATGGTGAACATAAGTACCTTAATATAAAGTGTTACCAAAATAAAACAACTGAACTACACATAAACATGTAAAAGGCACATTGCAGCCACAGAGTAAGGGATAATATTCATTAAACTTGTCATTACACCAGAAACAGCGCAGGAGTTAACTGGGTCGATCAAAGTCCTAATGGAAAGCCTCATTATACATTCATCCAGTTATTATGCATGTAACCATTAAAGAAATTAATCACTTGATACAGATTATTGATTAAAATGGTTTCAGTACGAGATACGATGATTTACAAGCTTCAGCCAACAGCTCTGCAGATCTGTAACCATAGAAACACAATTAAAAGTGATAAATCAGTTTAGCCTCCAACTATCAATCGAACATTTGAATAAATTAAAGTGATATCGTAAAAAACGTTGCTTAATTGTGTCCACTGTCAAGTGTTTCTCTGCAGTATCCAGGCAGTTACAGTGAGTTGGATTGAAGTATTTTGGTAGAATATGATCGGATGTGAAACATTGATCTGTTGAAGAAAGATTGTTGATCTTCTGGACGGCCTACAGCCGAGCAGAAGTGAGATTCGACAAAGCCATGTAATGACTTTAGATATTCTAAATATTGTTGCTGATGGGTGAAAATGACCACACGCTGACGTTTTAGAAGTACAAAGACTAAAACATCCATAAAAAGGATAAAAACAGCGCTGCAGAATAGCACAGTGCTTCCTACTGTATAGTATCTGTCTGCAGCCTCTTCGTTCACATGCAGGCATGTTTGTGTTTGCCTCCCACCAGCAGCACTGTCAGTATCCCCAGGCCAGGTACTGAAGCACTTTAATAATCTGCACACATTTATGAGTCCGTGTCCGAGCTCATAGATCAGTGTCAGCGTGCCGACCTATGAGAATATCAGTCGGATCAGATACAGACTAATGAAGGCCTGCTCACATTACCGCCGCCGTCAATCAAACACGCCGTTAGTTAATCATCAGCATCTCTCTCATTAAGAAACACAGATTCCCAGAGAGATTCAGCCCAGGTCTTCTGTTCAGTCAGTGCCCTTGTGGGCTGATATGTGTGACGTATGGTTTCACATATAGAGCATGTGATGGGTGAACTTCATTATTTTGTTCTTTTGACTTCACAGTTACACTGCGTGCTGTGGTGTGATGTGCTTATTCGGGATAACATACAGTGGTTAAAATGTATTGTCTTACTCAGGGACACGAGGACTGATCTGACATATTGATTACTGATGTATTAATTGTCATAAAGAGACTGAACATGTAATTCTAGACAGCCTGTGATGGACAACAATATGCCGGATGTGGTCATGTTCAAGCATTCATTTTATTACTGCATTCCTGTGACTAATATGTCCAATTTCCGATCCAATAATGTTGCACTTGGCTCTTTATTTGGAGATTTTTTGATAAGATAGTGTTGGTGTGTCTCGACAGCTATTAGATGGATTGCTATTAAGTTTGCTGCTACACACATTTATGTAATCACTTCAGTGATCCCTCAATTTTTTATCTAGCACCATTATCCCATCAAACTTACTTTTTCCAGTAATTTGGTTCATGACTAAATCTAAAACAGTAAACTAAGATGGTGAACATGTTAAACATCTTATCTGTCTAACATTAGCATGTTAGCATTGTCACTGCGTCCACATAGCATGTTGTTAGCCTTAGTTCAGCCTCACAGAGCTGCTAGCATGGCTGCAAAATTGTAGTCATACATTTAGAACAGCATTCTCTTTGTAAGTGTCTCTGGCGGCTCACTGAATCTCCTGCTAGAAGTTGTGTAGAGAAGGCGTAGAGGGAAAGTTAAACATGGTCGAATTGCATTGTGGTCACGTATCCAGACAGAAGATGCTCAGATGTATGAATGAAGACACTGTATTTGCTGCTGAGACACTGACTGGCAAAAAACTTTCTCTAAAAGTTTGTATTTATCCAGGGAAGGCTTGCTGAGCATGCATACTGTTTTCCACTGACATCCTGGAAGCGGGCCAGCATGACAGCAGTTGGAGATTAACTGCTGTTTGATAGAAAAGTTTCACTCGTTTCCCACTCTTGCCCAGTTGTTTGCAACCATTTTTTGCTCAAAAACCTGCTTGTTCTACCTTTTCACCTGTAGTTTTGTTCTTTTTTTCTGTGAAGGTTGACACACATTAATCCCATTTTCTGTTGCCTGGATCCACCCCTCATGCTCACAACCTGCTCATTAAGCAAATAGTGGCCTTTTTCTTGTTTTCAGCATTTGAACTTTCAAGTACAGAAAGAGAGCCAAAGTAATAAAGATAATCACGAATAAGCATTATAAAGAAGACACGATTCACCAGCCTTTGGCGACCAACATGATTATGGTTCTGCATTGACTCAGAAATGGTAACCAAATCTGTAGTTGCAGACCTTTCTCCACTTCGTTCGGACGACCCAACCCTGACAGTCCCACAGAGGTGTAAAAGCCTACAACTTCCCATTAGTCAGTAGAACTAATGAGGCTTGTTGCATGAGCAGTAAATCATTGTCAGCATTACTCTACAATTAAAAACAATTTAAAACTTGAAATTGTGACGTCTCTCCATTACTTTTTCCTAAGCCATTGTAAGTGTCCACCAGGTGTCTTGAGTTATGCCCATTGACAGTATGCCATTCTACGACAACACTAGATCCCAAATGTGTGACAGCGATCCCTTCTCTCCCGTAGGAGCTCTGTCGGCAGCGCATGGCGGTCAAACCCCCGACTGAGCGCCCGGAGCCGATCTCCTCCAGGATCAACAGCGTGTCGTCTCAGTTCAGCGATGGCGGCCAAGCCGTCAGCCCCTCGGCGCGGAGCAGCATCTCCTCCTGGAGTGAAGAGCCCGCCCACTCGAACATGGACATCTCCACCGGTCACATGATATTGGTGAGTTTCCCGTTGGGTTACTTTCTTGTAATTATCTTGTAACTGCCAACTGTACACTGACTAAGATATTGTAATAGTAAATAATAACCCTGCTTAATCACCAGAGACATCAGTTTTAATGGGCATGATGTTGTGTTGGTGACATCAGAAAACTTGTAACTTTTTGAATTGGATTTGAAGGACACATTCAAAGACTTGGAAGAGGGTTGAGGGCTATGTTTCAATTTTACACAAAACCCTGGAATGACTAATGACTTTATGCATTTTTTGCTCCGACTGATCAGTAGGACTGACATTAACGTGTAAATCTAATCCACCCACTGATATTGCACATCCAGAGATGAAAGGAGTTGACTAAAATTCAGACCCCAACATTGTGAAATACTAGAAAGGAAGGAATGACTAAGAGAACAAACTGTTAGCATCATAGCTGGCTTCCAGACCTCTGAACTGCTGCCCAGATCTCCAGTTTTTCAGCTTTTCAAATAGTTCTTGTGTTCATTGACGGCTGTTTCCTCAATCACAGCTGCGTAGGCGGGATTAAGAATGTGGCCCTAAATCTTGTGTGCCAGAGGCAGAAAAATTGCTACATCCATGAAAAATTGTGGCACAAAATGGCCACAGAAATGGTGATTAGCATGCATGAGATGGATGCAGCAAGTCTTAAATTGACATGTTTCTTTGAACGTGAAAAACATTAAGATAACTGCTCCCAGGAACCATTACCTGCGGTGTTATTTAAAATTACATTGGCGGTATGAATATGTCACTTGCTACTAAACGATTAGGGCACTGCAAAACAAAATAACGCCCCAGTCCCAAACCGAAATTGGTTTAGACTAAATAATTAAATGAAAAGAAATGTCTGATTATCAGGTTCATCCTTAAATGACAAGTCTTTTACTAAATACTGCTATTTCAAAGTGAGCTTTATTTCAGTTCCAGTGATCATTTTTGAAGAAGGTAAAACCTTTTTTTTAAACGGTGGATTTGCTCTATAGCAAGAAAAATCACATTGGCACTGTAATATTCTCGCCTGACACACTGACACTCAGTGTTTTTTACCTTTGTGGTCGGTTGTCTGTCTTTCCAAACAGCTACCAGACATTTTCTACGCCTCCTTCATTTTCCCTTTTATCCAAAACATCCCATCACCTGCTTCTCTACCCCTTAAAAAACCATTTATCTCCTTTGAAACCAGTGGAACCACAGTGTTTTTCTTCCACATCTCTGTCTCGTCTGTATTTCCACATATACCACTCTTTTCTTTTTCACACACACACACACACGCACACATTTCTCTTTCCCTCTCATCTCACTCTCTCTCTCATCTTTCTCCCTGTGTCTTTTTTTTTTGTTTCGTTTCTGTACATCTCATTACACCCACAGTTTCTATAAGCAGCCTTCTTACACTCTTCTACCCTGCAGATGAAAATCTCTATTGAACCTCGGTCGCATTCTGTCGAGCGCCGTCGTAATTGCGATATATAGCTATTCACTTCAACCACCCACCACCCTTAGCACCACCTCCTCATCCCAACACCCCCACCCACGCCCCCTCCTATCTCTCTCTCTCTCTCTCCCTCCCCTTGCATTATGAAGCTGCCGTCGAGATGTGACAGAGCGGGCTTTTTGATGTGTTCAATAGGCACAAAGATACTAATTACCCCTGAGATTTGCACCAGAGTTGTGTTCAGGAGAAATGACGCTGCTGCAGAGAGCTGCTGTTGTTTTAACCGAACGCGCAATCCTGCTAAAGTGTTTCTTTGGCAAAGGCACCCACAACAGAATGGGATGCATGTGTTTGATGCACCTCGGTCACATGTGGATGAAAATAGATTGGAGACAGCGAGGTTTGAACTTCTTCAGGTACATTTGCTTCGTCTTCGCCAGGCAGAGCCATCTCAGCAGAGGCGGCATCACTCGAGAGATAAGAGGAATGAAATGAAGTGTTGCTCATGTTTTGTTAAGTATGCATTTGGTGTGTGGGCCACGGTCTGGTCAGGAGATTACTGAATTTGTTATAATATAGGCACTAATATGTAAATGATGTGAGGGAAGGAGAGAGACTGAGTGCATCTGATGTGGCCGTGATGATTAATAACATTTTGTGTAGGTGATGGAGATGAATATCCTCTTGAATGCTGATATTCCACTTAAATCCTCTTCAAAGTAACTACAAAGTTCTAAGAGACATTTCTCGCTCTGTAAAACACTAAGCGACTCGCAACAAACTTTTTTGCTTAAGTGTTCCAAATCAGATTCAACAAACCCTCTTAACTGTACAAACTTTTAATAAATTCCTCGTTTCAGCCTGATGAATGTATCATCAGTAGCATAATCGATGCCTCTAAAATCGCCATATACGAATATGTGCCCCGCTCCTTTTGTGCGTGACTTCCCTTCAGAAAACTCTTCAAAGAGTAAAACGAAGCTTCCTGCAGACAAAAACATAAATAATTTAGCAGCCTGAGCTTCAGAGGACCCAAAACAATTAGGGAATGTTAATGGTAAAGCTGTCAACGGCGTGTAAACTGGCAAGCCATGATGATGATGATGATTATAATGTAGTGAACAGAATATCAATTTCTCCTTAAGTTAAGTTACAATAATGTTCAGATGCTTTAAACAATATGCATTTAATGATTTCTTCCTCAGAGGAGCCCTATGATTTATGCAAAACATTCTTTAAACATATAATATAACATACATACACGTCCAACACTGCACATGGCAATACCGTATGGTTAGGGGAAGATTAAAGCAATAGCAACAGTGCACAACGCGTCTGCACGCCCAGCAGAGGGGAACACCATCCGCACCAAGGGCTGAAATGCTGAAATGTCTCTAGCTAGCTAAAAACATTAGATTTCAGCACGTCAGAGGAGTATTTTAGCTCCCTATGTCAGTCAGAGAGGAAACTCAATATTGTCGGTCTGTCTCAGTGTCCGTCCTCCTTACCTTGTTTTCTTGGTGAAATGATCCCACTGAATGACCAGAGGTGAAAGATATTTACAACTATTTGATCCAATCACCAGGTTGGATGTATTAAAGATCAGAACCGGACCTTTCATAGCTCAGTTAGCTGCACACATAGACATACTGAGAGTCAGGATCCCACAGTGTCACGCAATGCAAGTCAATGGAGAGAGATTCATTGTTTCCCCCTCTGGTGTGGGCGGGGCTTTAATGCGCTCTGCCTCTGTGGTTAATAAGAAGGTGAACAGTGCTGTATTTTACCCAGTATGAGGGTGAGATGTCGATAGATGTATGTGTATGAGAGAGGGGCATTAGAGCCTGATTTAAGACAATGTTTTATTAGCCATAGTGATTATGATCAATAGAAAATGTCTGCCTTGATCTTCTTCTGCGTCCAGTGACTCTCAGTCGAGTGAGAGGAGGGAGTTCCCATTCCATCCATCACAGTTTCCATTTGATATATAGATTATAAACATACCCTTTTAATTGCAGCCCTCTTTTACAGCCATGAAACCTGTCCAAATGCACCGGTTTCATTAGGCGCCTACTGTGCTGATGAGAAGCTGATGGCATGTTTAACTCCATGTTTATATTCCAAGGAGGGAATAAAAGGGAATGAGCAGGGAGGAATCACGATGCTCATTATCACAGAAAGTCAAAATGTACGATTCTTAGTTAATGAAAGGGAGCTGTGAACTTTTAGCTGCCATTTATTTTTTTCCCCCTTTAGATTTTTTAGCGAAGGAAGAGAAAGTGTGGAGAGAGAGAAATACATACACTGAGCTGTGTTTCAGCACCTTGGACAGCTCTGATTGGTCCAGGCCGTCTCCGTCCTCCCACAGAGGAAGCATTAGACAGCAGAGGGAAAGTTACATAATGCCGTTGTCATGTGGAAACCACGTATCTCCGAAATGTCAGCCGCTCATCTTCGCTTTTCACCGGACCTCCGCGTACTTCCGCTGGAACCTTTCAGAAGCACGAAGGTCACGCGGTTTTGTAGGTCTACAGACGGGCACGTAGAGTTTCTGCTGAAGTTAAAAAATGGAAAGAAGTGAAATTGGAGTTATGAGGTTTTCACATAATGGTGACAATCTGGGAAATTGCTATTTAATGTCTTTTCCCGCCCACCGGCCGTCCTCTTTGGTAGAGATTTTTATGGATTTGCAGCCACAATCCTCTCTCTATCTCCTCCATCTTTCATTCATTAGTTTTCCTGCTAATTTGATGTTTTCTTTAAGTCAATTTTGCCACCTCTTCCACTACATCCTTTCTTTATTTTATTCTTTCTTTTCCTTTATTACATAATCTTTTCTTCGATTTCTTTCTCACTGCACTTGCCGTTAAATTTTTTCAGTTTTTTATGTTTCTTTGCATTGGTCTCTCGCTATTTTTTCTTTTAACTCTCTCTTTTGTACTTTTCCTCCTCCTCCTCCTTCCTATCTGTCATTTCTCTTTCCATAATTTGGAACAATGCCTATTTGTTACAGCTCATATTTTTCTTTTGCAGTTCTAGCTGTCAGCTTTACAAAAATATTCACACTTACAAGAGAGCTCATTTCAGATTCACATCATGATGTCAACTAGAGACCGAGCAGAGTTTCATTCCAGCAAACCGGGACCCAGTCAACGCGTTTGGGGGGAAACTCAGCCGAGGGATTTTTAATTTTTTTTTTTTTCAGAGAGGCGTCACAGTGAGAGACCAAATCCATCACAAAGCGAGGCGAGCGCGGCCCCGCCATGGAAAAGCAAATATTTCATCTAACGCCCTGCCACGCACCCGAGTGAAGCAACTGTTGAACGATTAATAAAAATCACGGGCGTCAAAGAAAGGAATAACGTGATAGCTGATGAGCCGCAGTGCCCCACCTCTCCCACCAACCCTCCCACCTCCCCAAAAATTAATTGCCTCTCGTAAACCCGAGCAAATTCTATGTCATCTTCCACCCACTGATTTTAATTTGAGGAGAAACAGCTTTCACCATCTTATCTAAGTTAATGTATTACTTGGTCCCATGTGACTGGGACCGAGTGCCCCCCCTCCCCCCGCACCGCCGCCGCCACCTCCCCCTACATCCTCTTTGCTTGTGTCTTAAGAGGATTAGTCGACTCTATATATAAAGCACATTATCTTGTCTTTTGTTGCTGGCCAAGTAAGTGTTATAGATTATACTGCAGCGAGAGCCTCCATCGAGATTAACCGGGCTGGGAATTTGTTGTGGTTGTGGTTTTCGTAGCTCACCAGGAGGCCAGCTGGGATGTGATCTGTAGAGTTGATAGGTCGCAGGGCAATGGGCTGGAGGACGAACGGGTTTCAGCAAATGGATGTTGAATCACTCTAATGTGGTCAGTTGAGGAGCAGGAAGCATTCAGCTGCAGCGAAGTTAGACTCATGTTTCAGGATGATGTCAGCTTTTAACTAGAAATGAGACAGCAGCCTCCGATGGGATGGATGGATGCAGGTTGATTGATGATGATCGATTACACGTTTGTTGAATTTTTAGAAGACCGTAGCCTGAATCGATTCACGCAAGCAATAATTTGATTCGAGACAAAAATAGCACAAGTGTGTTTTTATAGGGATGAAATTCTTCAGGAAGCTCTTCAGCCATTTTATGAACTTCTGTGAAGAAAACTAAATGAAATTGTTATTTATGTAGATTATATTATTATTTGAGATATAAAGTAAAGATAAAACGGTAAAGATGTAAACATAAGCTATATTCACAGAGCTTTCAGTCTCTGAAAAACAGCCTCATCCTGCATTAGAAAACTAGTTAAAACAATCAAAGAGCTGATAGAACAATGGCAGAAAAAAACACAGAATTCGTCCAAAAAGAAGCTTTTTAAGTCTGTATCTATAACTGTCATCGTTCGTCAGGGGTCATCAAGTTACTCAATGATAGAACAGGGGTCCAAAGATGGACCAAAAGTTATAAAAACAGAGTTTAACATTTCAGTTTCTTGGCTGCACTTTATCCCCTTGCTGATAAATGTCAAGAATTCCCTTTGAAAACACACTTACGCCCTTTTTTGTATCATCTGTAGCCATTATGACATCCTCAGTGGTGGAAGAAGTACCACAGCATAAAAATACTCATTAGAAGTATTTCTGATGCATTAACAAGTACGCTCATCAATGTGGGGCTTTTTTGGTTATTTTAATGTAAAATAATGTATATTATTAAGATTTAAGATTAAACCTGTAATGTAATGGAGTAACAACTATTTCCCTCTGATGTAGAGAAGTACAGATACCTTAAAGTTGTACTTAAAGAGTACTTGATAAATATACTTGGTTTCTCTTCACCACTCAAAACCCCACCCTGCTGAGTAACAGCAGAGAGTGATGTCTCTCACCCACTTCCCCTTTCCCTTTAGTCGCTGTCGATCCAAAATGGCCGCCGCATTACATCACCTCCCATGCGGCCGGCTTTCATGCTGCCGTTTCCTACAGGTGCTCAGATGGTGCGTCACAGCCACAATGGCGGCTCGGGCAGAGTCTTACTGCGTGGCGGTTTTTATTGAGCACCTTTGGCAGCTGTAAGCCCCCCCGCAGTAAGGGGATTATTCAGTGTTTGGCCGACACATGGTGATCTCAGCACCTCCTGATTGGATTGCAGTAATCCCTTTACACAGCCACAAAACCCTATTACTCTGGCATTAGAGAGGGAGAGAGAGGGTAGGGGGTAGAGGGTGGTGGGGGGCATCTGATGTAGGACAGTGTGTGTGTGTGTCTTCGGTAGGACTGTGAATCTTTAGAATATTTGCAGGTCATGTGTTTTGTGTGATTGTGTATTCATGCTATTTGTACATATATATATATATCTATATATATATATATATATATATATATAGGTGTGTGTGTGTGTGTGTCAGTAGGTACTGTGAGTGTGTATGCCGATTTTGTGTGTGTATTTGAGTGTGTATTTTGCGTGACTAACTGGGAACCGTGTGAGCGAGTGTGTTCTCTTTGTGTGTGTCTTTGCAGTGCATATGTGTGAGCGTGTGTGGGTGGACTGTGTTTTTGAGTGTATGACCTTATAAAAACCTTTATGTGTGGATTGTGCTTTAGATGTGTGCATGTGCATTTTCTTTACGTGTGTTTTTTGTGTGTGTGTGTGTGTGTGTGTCTTTTTAAAGGATTCGGACCCCCCGCTGCTGGTGGCGGTGTGCAGGTGGAGGGTCGTAGCTCGCGGCTCACTGCTGCTTTTAGCAACTCTGAAGCAAATATAATAGAGAGCTGATACTACAGCAAGTAAAGGCCAGTGTGTGTGTGTGTATGCCTGTGTATCCGTGTGTTTGGTTGTGTGTGTGTGTGTGTGTGTGTGTGTGTGTGTGTTTTCAGCTATACAAAATGCAGCTGTGAATAGATGAAACTTGCTGTTCCACACTGAGCCTGTTAAGCTCACTGATAGACTAACAAATAACAAACCTGAGTAGCTGCATGTTTGTAGAGTTTGTTGAGTGGGCATGCTCATGTATGATAAAACCACATATCTATCTATTTGACCGAGACACTTTTCCATCATCTTCCAGCAGCTGGACGTCTGGCCATGCTGCCTTCCATTTTTAACAAACTCCTCTCATTTTAGCAGAAAGCCATTAGGCCTTTTTTGGAAGCTAATTCTGATTAAGATCGTCCCCATTTGTAACTGCCATCATAAATCATCGCCGGAGCCATTTAAAGAACCACACAAGCTCATTTCGTTCCCTCATCCATTACAAACGAACGTACCATCCATATTTTGTGTGCATGGTGCCGCAGATTTTTAAGGCTCCTAGAAAAAAACAAAGCTACACGGATCTCCATCAGATTATGGCTGACCTTTAAGCCTCAGTGTGAACAACACACACTGTCCTTGCTATGGACGTCCGTGCCAAGCACATTTGCAGACAGTTGATCAAAGTCACATTGTCTTCCTTAATTATGAATATTGTATGGTAGGTAATGGCCAGGCTGATACTGGTTATCATTTAAACAGAGCAGATTAGACTGATAGCACTGTGATTAAGATGGCTTCAGCTCAACTAATAAAACAAGGAAAACATGCACACAGGAACTCATGCACGGTTTAATGATTCTTCATGGAGAAACAGAGGGAGGGGAGTCACTATAAAGGATGCTCCAAGGCTCAAACTGGACCTAAACTCCCCCCATCTGGTGCTTTAAGCAGGTTATAACAGTATTATCTCGGTTTTCTTTTTCACATCAACACCAGATGGGTGGGATTTGCCACAATGAGTGACAATCACAGGAAAGAGTCCTAGTATGCATTTGGTTGAGTTTTCTTTGATTGACAGAATAACTGTTACCTGCTTTTCCATCTGGTGCTCCTCTGAGACGCAAACAAACAGCCTGCCAGACAGTTTAGGAAAGCCTGTTATGTTAAAGTTAAAATCACAGGCTATATGTGAAATTTTGTGATTGACAAATCAACTGAAACAGTCTTCTTCAAGGTGTCTATCTGGTTCTTCAGGCAGATAAAGACAAGCTTAACCAAAGATAAATACAAATACAAGACACCCTTAAAATGAACGTATTCCGATATCTGCTGAGAATGAAGGCTGTAGAAATACAACCCCATCAATAAAAATAACCCTTTGTTGTATGCCCAGCTCTGTTTTCTCAGCTCTCTTTCTTCTCTTTCTTCTCCTTCAGTCCTACATGGAGGATCACCTGAAGAACAAGGACCGCCTTGAGAAGGAGTGGGAGGCACTGTGCGCCTACCAGGCAGAACCCAACGCCTGCACCATTGGCATGAAGGATGGCAACGCCAAGAAGAATCGCTCCACTGCTGTTGTGGCATGTAAGCAATGAACTCAGGAAATTGTGTTTCTTTTCTTAGCTCTCTCGGTTTTCTTAGTTTGAATTTATCAGTCTCAGTGGTGACTAGTGGGCGAGCCTCAGCATTTACATGTAGATAGTAGTAATCAAAAACTGATTAGCTACTACTTCAATATCTGCTGTTGCTCTGTCTGCTGCTTGCATGAAGTCCTGGTTTCAGGGGGGTCCCCCATCCTCTGACTGCTGTTTTAGACCTGAAGACCCTGTCTTCAGGTGCTTTGGGGTTAATTTTCATCATGAAAATGGTTACAAAAGTTGGAAATCAGCACAAGACATTAACATCTGTAGCTCATAATATATCAGTACTGGCCTTCAACAGCTTTCTGATTTTTGTTACTAGAACCATCTTTAGGTTATCTTTGGACTCAAAGACAGATAACTTAATGATCTGCATTTTCAGTTAGGTGTACATTATCTTCAAAAACTAATCTACGTGGACTGGTGGTGCTTTAAATCCATTACGTAATTTGTCTTTAATGAGTTTCCTAGAACCAAACTAATGCTTTTGTTCTTGTACAGTTCAATATATGCTGTGCGGGAAATTTTCCTTAATTTAATGGTCAACCTGTAATCTTCTTCTTCATTGTCGATATCTTCAAAGTACTCACTGTTATCAACATGTTCAAAACTTTAAAGAGCAGCACATTTAACAGGATAACAGACAGAGGCATGTAAAGGCAAGACAGCAGTATCTCTGTCTCACTAATGGAGGGCAAAAAAAATAAAAATTGGAACTCAAATTCAGCTGTTACACCTCCTGATGTCAGTCCTCCAAATGTAGTGGCATTACTCTCACCACCTCTCGACAACACTCCTCGTATATTCTAAGCCCGGCCTCTATTATCAGAAACCAGGAGCAGATGCAGTGAGCAGAAGGGTTGTAAATTAGTTTTCTATTAAAGCTCTCCTGCACCGACCTCATCAATGATTAAAATTTCTAAGCTTCTGTGGAAATAGCCCATCTAAAAAAGTGCTGTCCCATTCTCTCCACCGGGCACGGGCTTAATGAAATCCAGGTTGTCAGCAGGGAAAGCAGTTTGTCAGGAATAAATTGTGCGTCCTATTTGAAGCACCACTGGCTGCTCTGAAAAAAAATTCAGAACTGTTTTTGCCACTATCACTGGAGTGAAATGTACAACCTAGGAAAATGTGTCCTTCCTGAAGATTACCAAGGATGATGGAGGGAAGATTCTCCCAAAGCTGGATGGAATTTGTCCTCAACATTCAGTGTTTTAATATAATTTCAGATCTTTGAACATTTTTGGAGCTCCAAAAGAATTTAAATTAAATTCTGTCAGTCTGATTAAAGCTTAACCAAACAATATGAGTTTGTTAAGATGGACCCACCAGTGTGCTCAGAGTTTCAGAACTCAGTTCTTGGCTGCTGAAATCAACTACTTACTCCTGACTGCCTAAAATCTTGGACTTTTGGTGAATTTCTGGAATGGTGTGGAATTGTTAGAAGTGTCTTCTAGACAGTGAAAGTCAGGGATCACTTGATAATTCCGAAGGAAAGTCAAAGAACATCAGGGAATTTTAATCCCTGAAATGAAACTAGTTCTTTCCTGAGCGTTAAACAACCTTGACATAGCAGAAGGTAATAAACTCTTAAGGTCATGGAAACTTGGAGATTTACATCTTGATTCTTGTTATACTCAACAGATATGCAAAGAAATACCTTATTGCAATGCATGTAATACAGCCACTGAGCACTAGAATTCTTAAGACAAAACGTGCTGAATTCCTCCATTTGCGTTCCAGATGATCACTCTCGAATCACCTTGAAGGTGGAGAACAGCCAAGGCAACTCTGATTACATCAATGCCAGCCCAATCGTAAGTACCTCCTCTGCATTCTAACTCTGTGCTTCACACCGCCGCTATGCCAGGCTCCCACAGTCCCCACGGGGCGTCGCAGGAACAAAGGCAGCCTACCGTTGTACAATATAAATTTTGATGCAACGCTTGCTTAGCTTCAGCCCCACACTAGTGTGTATGTTCTGCGCCATGAATATTAATGATTGTTTTACAGCAAACACCCCGGGCGAGTATTCGCTTGGGGAAGGCGTGGGAAAGGACATGCGCGTGGCTCTCGGTTCGCTTCTCGTTTGTGAAACACAAAATTGATCTGTGGGGTCTTGGGAAATGATTGTTTCTGACCTTGGGTTATGCTAATTTGACACTAGTTTGTGTTTACTGTTACGGTGCGCTCGACTTGCCGAGGCCTTTCCTTGGCGCAGTACAGATTTAAGTAGCAAAACAGCCTGTAGGAAGGAGAAGGGGGGAAGAAAGAGCCATGTGCATTCAGTAAGTGAGTGTATCAATTTGGAAACCAGTGTTGGAATAGTAGGTTTACGTTTCCCTGGAGGCAGATACAGTGGTATTCCATTAAAAGCAACAGAAACGCTATGCATTTCAAATCTGGGCGTCACACCAAGAAGTGGCTGAGTGTGTGCGTTCGAGTGTGTGTGAGAGACAGACAGAGGGAGGGTGAGAAGGAATCAAAACTATGCAGGAACAAAAGAGCAACCTTGTCAAATGCCATGAACACACAAATGCAAAAACAGCTGCAACACATGTACCCACGCACGCACAAAGGCACATACCGACCAACACACTTGATGCTTGCATTGCACAGACCCTGAAATGCACACGCATGTATGCACACACACTCATATGGTGTACATACACACAGATGACATGCAGATAGAACATAGAACAAACAGTGCAGACACCCACGCGCAAAAGTACACACTATATAGTGTATACATCGCCCCCTCCCCTCCAAAATACATATTAAATAAATATTAAACACTGGATGTATACAAATGTACGGTACACACTGAGGATATTTAAGGAACCGCCTCTGCTGACAATTTCCCCCAACCGCCCTCACCCACGCTTTGACGGAAAGAAGATGTGCAGAGACAAGATGTTTGGGATCTTCCTCCGGCAGACTGTCAATAACTGTAAAACTTATTAATAAATGTTTTGGTTGCTCGGCCAAAAACTTTTCTCATTCTGTTGCTGTAGGGTAGATGGATTGTTATTAGCCAGTATGAAGCTAATAATTCCCTGTTGTCACATTGGAGGAACCTGTTAGTTCCGATGACATCCATCCATGCACTTAATATCTGAATATTAGATTTTTTCTAAAACCTGCTCCATTTATTCCGACTCTGCAGATGAACAAGATACCATATAAGGAATTCTGAATAATCTGAGTGTACAACTTTGACCCCTTCCCAGTTCATGCTATGGCTGATTTTAATAACTTTCAAAATTCTCTGACCAGAGGGCCATTTGAATTTGCATCAGTACCCCACACGACTGGATGCAATCCCCTGTGAGTTACTGTAAGTCAGTTTTCTTCCTCAGACCACAGTCAGGTGATGCCAATATCCCAGTAACCTGTGATTCACAGTGGGATTGGTAGTTTTGTGTAGACATGAATTACACAGCAAAAGATTCTCACATACACTGATGTAGAAAATAGTGAGATCATTTGGAAGGCTTAACAAAGCAAGGACCACTTCCACTGAGTCCTTTAAAGCACTACAGCTGTGTTCTTGGTGAAAGAAATTCTAAAGAATCAGCGGATGAACAGTCATCATTTAATCAACCAGATGTTGTTTTCTGTGCTGGCTAAAGTAAGGGTGTCATGAATTAGCTAAATTACATAATTAAAGCCTTCCTAAATGTTACATGCTCAGTTTCTCATTAAATATTTGGGTGGAAAGTACCCACAAAGATGTAATTGACACCAGGAAGCTATGGAGGGTGTTTTAGATGATGATTGTTTGTTCTGTGGGGTGAGGACATTACATTACACCTAAACTGCCAACACGGAGGTTCAGGGAGTGTACTTTTGTTCCCCTCTGATGGTTTGATCACCCACCACTTTAGCTCTCAGTGTCACAACCTGGACGAGTTCCTCCATCGTGACAATTCACTATGCTTTTAGCAGCGTTGGTGAACCAAAGCTCCACCTAAAATGGATCTGCTGCACTACAGTCTGGTTCTTGTGTCACATTTACTCCAGTTCGACCTAAAGCAGCATCCTATGACAGTCCAGCAAGACGCATTCATCGTCCCAGGTGTTGTTTTTGGTTCTGGTTGACGATACAACTTCTGAATATGCCTCTTAACTCAAAAACGTCCTATTGAACCTTGACTGACCACAAAAGAAAATAAAGGCATTA